AATGATATTACCAAGATCCATCACACTGCACGCTAAGGAAGGTGGGAAAGCAGCTCTACCTTTGGAAAACTTGGGTATTCTTGGTCTTGCTCTTATCTTGCCTCCTCTAAGGTTTTCATGAAAGTCTGAACTGCCTACTGCATCAACTCACTGCTGTAAGAATTGTGCAGAGGGGGCCCGGTGTGGTAGCCTAGTGGCTAAAGTCCTCGCCTTCGGATCAGCTCAGCTCCAGCAGTTGTGGTCGCTTGGGGAATGAATCAGTTGACAGAAGATCTTCCTCTCTGTCTCTTCCTCTCTGTAAATCTGACTTTCCAATAAAAATAAATAATTTTTTTTTTTTTTTAAGAATTGTGTGAAGACCAAACCTGCAGCATGTGCTCAAGCAATGGACAGTTACTCCTCCTGGCTACCTTCATGGCACATGGCGAAAGAGGAGGTAAGGGTGAGTGAGAACAGATCATGGAAAATAGGTTACACTGTAGTTGTTAGGTAAGAGAAACCATTGAAAATTTTGTTTTGTTTTTCTTTTTTTATAAATTTTATTTTTTAATACTTATTTCATGGTGGATCATGGTGGGAAGGATCGAGATTTAGGGAAAACTGGGTGAACTCATTGCTTCCAAATTTGCTATTTCTTGTTGTTGTTTCTGGGGTAAGCAGAGACAAAGAGGGAAACCACTCATGACTTTCCACATGTCCCAGTACCCAGGGACGAGGAACTGCCACCTCAGATGAATCTAGAGTCTCTCAATGTGTACATATTCCGAGGGTTCTGTCCAAGTGGTTTGCATACTTCTGAAATGCTGCCAATATCACCAATCCGAGGATGACGTCACCCTCCCAATGACCATTGGCTCCATTCACCGAGATTTTTTGCTGTCATCGTTTGTTTGGGGTTGTTATCCAGTTAGTTCTGCTCTTCTGCTACAACACCAAGTGAGCTGTCATATTCTCCTTTTACAACAGGGCCTGTGTCCACTGCTCCATCTTTTTCATTAAGTAGGCCATTGAAAATTTTAAACTTTGCCAATACTATTTGTGTTTTGGGAAGATAAAATGGAAAGCCATGAGTAGACAGGTGTATGGTTAAAACAACAACTGACTGCTATCCTCTACTCTGCTCTCAATGTATTTCTGGTCATCAAGGTGGGGTCTATCACCCTCCCACACAATGCACCCCACAACCATTCACACACCAACAGGGTAGCCTACAATTCGGTTGTATTCTGATACTAACCAAAGTTAACATTAGATATCATTGTATAAGGGCAGAATCTTATAAGATCTCTTCCTCTGCTCCTACCTTCAAATGTTAGAAAACCCAGGATGTGTACCATAGGAACTTCTGACTGATAAGCTGTAATTTGGGTTCTCACAATCCCTTCCTTAGGTTTGATAATTTGCTGGGATGGGTTCCAGAGCCCAAGGCGCCACATTTATCAGTTCATAATTTAATAAAGGTGTTGCTTTCCAAACCCCACAGTTTATAGGTTTTTCTGGCGGCTTCATCACAAAAGAAAAATTGATTACTAACTCAGTCTCTGTTCCCTCGCTCCTTCCTAAGGAATGGAGATGGGGTGGGACTGAAAGTTCCAAGCTGTTCATCACGGCTTAGTTTTCCAGTTGACCGGAACTCCACCCAAGAGCCCACCAACAGTTATCCCAAGAAATTCCAAGAGATTGGAGGCCCAGGAACCAGGGTCAAAGACCAAACATTACAGCAAAGGATTTTTATAACATCCCTACTACTCAGCATATTATAGGGCTTGGAGAGCTTCGCACCAGGAAATGAAGATGATGATCAATAGATATATTTCTCATTGTAAATCATAATATCAAAGTCGGACCTGGGGGGATGGATTTTAGAGACAGCAAGATTAATTGGGAAGTTGTCATTGGAGCAAGGGAAAGTTAATGAGAGCTTGACCCGATGTCGTGAAAAATGGACAGGGAGAACTAGGATAGGTGGGACAACATGTATCATCGTCACTAGCAATGGGGAAAGGACAGAAAAAGGAAATCAAATGACTGACAGACATTTTTGGGGAGTGAGCAAGAAGATAATTATATTATTAGTACAATTTGGGAATACAAGAAAACGACCTAGCTTGAGCAAAAAAAGCAATGACGAAAGTACAAAAATGTTATTGGGCCGGAAAACTCCACCTCTTGGGCCCGGCACAACAGTCTAATGGTTAAATCCTTGCCTTGAATCTGTACTAGGATTCCATATGGGCACTGGTTCATGTCCTGGCTGCTCCAGCTCCCTGCTTGTGACCTGGGAAAGCAGGAGAGTATGGCCCAAAGCCTTGGGACCCTGCACCCATGTGGGAGACCCAGAAGAAGCTCCTGGCTCCTAGCTTCAGATCAGCTCAGCTCCAGCCTTGTGACAACTTGGGGAGTACACCAGTGGATAAAAGGTCTTTCTCTCTGTCTCTCCTCTCTGTAAATCTGACTTTCCAATAAAAATAAATATTTACCAAAAAAGAGCAATCTTGAATATACTTTAGTGCATGTTAGATCAATTGTATGTTTAATCTAGCAGGTGGAGACAAAAGTAATATTTGCTTTGGAAACAATTTTTACATCTCAAACAAACTACTAAGAATCAAAAGTAGGGCCCGGCGCGGTGGCGCAAGTGGTTAAGTCCTCGCCTTGCACGCCCGGGATCCCATATGGGCGCCGGTTCTAATCCCGGCAGCCCCGCTTCCCTTCCAGCTCCCTGCCTGTGGCCCGGGAAGGCAGTCGAGGACGGCCCAAAGCTTTGGGACCCTGCACCCGCGTGGGAGACCCGGAGGAGGCTCCTGGCTTCGGATCGGCATAGTATCGGCCCGTTGCGCTCACTTGGGGAGTGAATCATCGGATGGAAGATCTTCCTCTCTGTCTCTCCTCTCTGTATATCCGCCTTTCCAATGAAAAATAATAAAAATAAATCTTTAAAAAAAAAAGAATCAAAAGTAAGAGGGAATAGAAACATTTAAAAAAAAAAAAGGAGATTTGGCACTTATCCAATCCCCAGCACCAGGGAAACTGGACATGGATAATCTGGGCTAGGAAGAAAGAAAGGAGGTGAAAATTAACTGTGACTTTAGTAAAAGGTACAGACCTGGCTATGGAAGACTTAACTTGGCAAGGCCGCAAGCAGATGAACAGAATCATATAGGACAGCCTGGGATTGGCAGTGGCCAAAGCCAGTGGCTTCTAAAAGCTGAACCGTTCGTTTGTGCTATGCTTCTCCACACAGAGTGTGAAGGCGTCCAGCAAAGAGCCACCTGCACAGCACCCCCAGATTAGCCAGTGAGATCCCCATCTCCAAGGATTTGCTAAGTACCTGCAAAATATAATGAAGCTTCCCTCCATGTAGTAAGCACATAGCAATCTCCAAAATGCATCGATAAGGAAAATCAAAATTATAAGAGTTTTTGTAGCAGAGTGCTTTCAAGAAAATATAGGTGTATATATATATTTGCATATATACATATATATATACACATATATATACATGTATATGTCTACTTGTTCCTATATAAGGAGTCTTCAAAAAGTTCATGGAAAAAATAAATATTTCCTTTTAATGTTTGTTTTAATCATAATGAAGATTTACAGGGAGAAGGAGAGTCGGGGAGAAAGATATTCCATTTACTGGTTTAGTCCCCAAATGGCCGTAACAGCTAGTGCTGAGTGGATCCGAAGCCAGGAGCTTCTTCTAGGTCTCACACATGGGTGCAGGTCCCAAGGACTTGGGCCATCCTCTGCTGCTTTCCCAGGCCATAAGCAGGGAGCAGGATTGGAAGTGGATCAGCCAGAACATGAACTGGCCTCAGATGGGATGCTGCTGCTTGCAGGAAGGGGATTAGCCTGTTGAGCCACTACACTCAGCCATGAGTATTACTTTTTAATCCTATTTTCACAACAACGTGTTGAAATACCCTGTGTGGGTGTTCAGGGCTAATTATTTATGTATCTGTGTGTGTGAATAACATCTCTGTAGGATACGTAAGGAGACAGTGGTGCCTGGAGAATAGAGAGGCAGACAAGGGCTAGGATATTCAACAAGATAACATGAATAAGCATTCAGCCAGCACAATTTTGCTGCTAGATAATTGCCTACAGAAGCCCTCACCCATATATAAAAGAAAAAATGTAATATTGTCTATATGGATGAAATACTAGAAAGAACCAAATGTCCATCAACAGTCACAGACAGAATAAACAGACCTAGCAGAGAACAGCGCACAGCAGCTAAAGGCCATGAGCTGGACACCCACAAAAATGTCTAAAACTCGGCTATCAGCACCCAGACCCCCCATTGTCATCACCCTCTGGGGCGGGGGCGGGGTTAGGTGGACCAGATCAGGAAGCTCCCTCCATGGCTGCAATGGATTATTTTTCAAAACATCTACAAAAGAAGGACAGGAACAAAACATCTAAACTGCTACAAGATTCAATCCCACATGACAGAAATATGGACATTTGCTTAATCTTTGTATTTTTCTGTGTTTTGAAAGTTTCTAGACATTCAAGTACACAGTGAAACTCATTCAGAGAGGTGAGCATCCTTTTGTTTTCTTTATAAAGTGAATTCTACACAGTCAGCCTTAGCGTTCTCTAAAAGTATTTCTTGTGAAACAATAAGGTTTTGCAGTGGAGGTCTTAAACAGGTGGATGTGGTTTCAGGTTTCACACTTCAGACTACACAACAGGAGGAAACCAGTGGCCAAGGGAATGAAGGGACTTTTGATGCTGATTGTGCACTAGTCAGGCACATCCGCTTGCTCATCCCCCAGTCCTGCCTTAGTTCTTCCAAATTCCACTCCCATGTTCTGTTGAAGAAGCAACAAGACTTGCCCTGAAGCAAGTCATTTCCTTTGCTTCTTCAACTTCATAGAATAAAACGGGTGCGTAACTTCCTTTGGTCTTCCTTTAAAGGCGGAGCTTGTGAACACCTTTAAAAAACTCTGGACTCCACCTCACCCAACCACTTGGGTTCCAGCAAGCTGTTCAGCAAACAAGCAATTAGCCAAAATGATACCTGGAGGCTTAACTGATGCCAAACCTGCCACTCCAGAAATCCAGGAGATGGTTAACAAGGTAAGGAAAATTCAACCATAAGATCTTGTTTCACAGGTTGGCCTTTTGGTGAATGCAAAAAAGCCGGAACACTGGGAAATGTGTGTTTGAGTTTTCTTACAATGATACTTGGGAGACAGAGCTTTTCTGATGAAACCTTGTGAGAGTGACCCTAAGTTAGTCACGTCCCTTCTCAGATCTCAGTTTCCCCCATTTGAAAAGGAAGAATTTGTACTGGGTCATCTCTAAGGCTGGAAAACGTGTGATTCTAGAATTACTAATTTAATTTCAGATAAAAGCTTTCAGAATCTCATGGAACCAACATGTAATTTAAGTCTAAGGTTGTTAGCAATAGGAATGATGGAGACTGTGTTCATCAGGGAGATTTATTTGATTGGGAGTTATATTATAAAAGCAATCCACTTACCTACATGCTGCAAATCTGCTTTAGTCTTGTCATATTTACAAGGTGGTCAAACTAGAAGAGAACTGATAGTCTAAGTTGCTTCTGAGATGTTCTGGGCAGAGAGATTAATTGTGGGAAAAGCAGAACTAAAGGTCTTCTGCAAGCTGATACTCTATTAAGTGCTGCCTTAGGAGCTATCATGCATATCATAAAAAGCTATTACAGTTCATATTTTGTGAAAGAAAAATAATATCAGTTATTAACAGGCTTGTAATTTGTTGCTTATAGTGTTCCTTCTTTTCTCTCTCTTGGAGAATCTTTCTGTGATACTGTTTGAAAACAAGACGGAGGTGGAAGGAATGGGAACCTTTGTCCAGGGCTCTGAAAGTCCCCTTGGGATGCCTGGGATTCTACTGTTCCTTCTTTAGAGCTAAATATTTTCCTTTCAAGAGATGTTGCCTGTTTGTTTTTCTGTAAATACCTTGGAGAGTTCTCTTACTTGGAGAAGATACTAGCTCATCAATAAGTTCATTTGAATCCGCACATCAGGTCAGGGTTCTGGTCTTGATAAAGAGCAATTCTGTCTGAGTGGCCTAAGACTGCATTTCTGCCAGACTCCCAGATGATATGGCAGCTGCTAAACTTGAATTCTCATGCTACAGGACCTGTAATACGTGTTGTTCTCCAAGGCCTGATGGAGATGAGGCTTTTTAAAACCAGGGGACCAAAATGAGAGTACCCTGCTGATCCCAGAGCTGTGAGCATGAGATGAGGCAATATGCATTAGAAAGGATTACATAGGTCAGACATCATAATAAAATTTTTCAAATTTTTGCCTGCAGTCAACTCTGACCCTGAAAAAAACTAATCAGACTTGCCAGCGATTTGGAGCTACAAAGGGACAGGGAAAAACAGGCAGTGGAACTATTGATGATCAGAAGGTTTAAGAGTGTTTTTATTAAAAAAAAAAAAAAACTGTCAAACTGGTTAACAAGAATAACCATTCTGTTTTCCAATAAGAAGCTACTGGAAGGTCTTGCATTGTTAATAACACCTACCTGTTTGCTACATGTTAAATCCTAAAATTGATTTGAATGTGTGTTTTTTGCTGTGTGGTCACAGGCTGCAACTTTGTCAGATGGTTGTAATGAGAGATGAGTACTAACAAGCTACTTCACCCCCAGAAAGATGCTACACCATTTTAAAAAGCCTTGACTTTCATTTAACCTCTCATTTGATCTTCATAACCCCTGGGGCAGACAGGGAAGATATTATGTCCAATTTTAGATGATGAAACCAAGATTTAAAGAGGTTAGGCTCACTTAGCCCACCTCCAGACTTTTGACTTCCAGCCCTTTCCACCACACAGCAGGTGAATATGGAGAAAACTGGCGGGGGTAGGAAAATTTAACTGAATGATGAGAGACAGTGTGGCCAACTCATTTGCTCTAGGCAAGCCCCAGCCTCAAACACCATGTGAGAAGTGCATGTCAACCAATTGCTTCCTGGTAGATGTATTTCTGGAGTATCTGTTACCTGTTAAATATTATATAAGGTGCATAGATAGGGGAGACAGCCTCCACCTTCAAGCAACTCATCGTGCTTGGCAAAGTCAAGATAACTGGAAATAATCTAAAACAATAGCCAATTATGTGCTTTTTCATAATCATAGGTTGTGGAGCAGAAAGGGCATTTGAGTTTGCTCATCCACTCTGCATCCTTTCAGTCATCGCTATGCAGCACTTCAGTTCCCCCAATGCCCACTGCCTGGATAGCTCTCACCTGTCCTCTCTAGAAGGATAGAGCCTTAGGGTCATTCCCTGTGAAGTGCTGTAAATTAGAGGCCAAGAAATCAGTAAGAGCTTAGGAAGCACTTCATAGCTTAGGAAGCACTTTCACATTAATTAAACCATTTATTTCCCTACAAACAACCCCATGGGGCAGACATTCTTTTAAACACTGTATAGGTGAGGAGATGCTACAACTGGTTAGGTCTCCACATAGGACTAAGCAAATTTGCCTATCTAACATGATTTGTTGGGATCCTAGGAAGACTTCTACCACCAATTCTTTACTTTGTAGTTTGTCCTTTTGACTTTTGAATATATTTCTATTTTTCTAATTACCTGTAAAAATAAAAATATTTTTTGGGAGTGGGTATGTGGATTGGCAGGTACAACATTGATCAGCATCCCTTCTAGTCTTGACTCCAGTTCCTCATTGCAACTCCTCTGCTAAAGTAGACTCTGAGAAGTAGGAGGGGATAGTCCAAGTAATGGGTTCTTGCCATTCATCTAGGGCATCAGGTTGATGCCAGACTCCTGGCTTCAGCTCCCCAAACATTACCTTCATCCTGGGCATTTGGGAGGAAACCAGCAGATAGAAGCTCACCTATACCTTTTCTTTCTCACACCCTTCCTCTCTCCCCCTCTCTCTGTGTCTCTCAAATACATCTTGAATAGGAAATTTTACTGCAAATGTTTATAAAGAAGCAGATGCTTATCAGCTTTTTCTGCCCTTATGTAGGAACTTCCTTGTAGAATGTCCCAAAAGAAAGCCCCCCATTACAAAGAGAAGGAAAGTGTCAAAAAAGTAATACCTGCATGTTCAAGGAGTTTGGAATCTAAGTGAAAAAGCAATGCTGCATGAGATCAAAAAGAAAAGAAATGAAAAAAAAGTGTGAACATTTTTGAGGGTAAAAGACAAGAGTGTCCACATTCAGTAGGAAACAAGCTGGATGTGTGGCTGTGATTTCAGACACCAAAGGCAGCTACAGGCACTTAGATTCCAGACTGAACTTAGAAGAAACTCCCTCTTCCAAGACTGGGTTAATGAGGCCATTGCTACGTCTCTCCTGTTTGAAGAGACACCTTGTCACAAAGGGAAAGAGCTATGGGAGGCCTTTCCATTCACAAGACATTGATGATGCAAACAACGCAGTCTGAATTGCCATGGAGGTCAAGAGGGATATAACCTGATCCCTGCCTTCCAGAAAATTTACAAACCCCATCGAAGGTAAGGGAGATATAAAAAAAATGAACAAATAAAGAGCCATTCACAGGACACCATTCAAGAAAAGCCTAAGTATGTGCAGTGAAGGCCAATTAAATGAATGGCCTCAAGAGCAAAAGGCTATGGGTCATTTCTGTTGATCCATTATCTTACAGCCCACATAAATACCCATTGGATGGGAATCCTGAGTATGTTTATGTGAAGAAATGTTATTTCAATCATTATTTTTAGAAATAAGGTTTATGACACACACATCCAAGCATGCATGTACACACACACACACACACACACGCCTCTGCCATAAAGCTAATTTGCTGAACATCATTCTTGGCAAACACACATACAATGTGATTTTGTTGGCCAAGACACTGCACAAATACTACATCTGCATACCATCCAGGGCACACCCTGGAGCTTAGCATGACATGGCTGTCACTCATTCCATCCACAAATGTGTGTCGCCCTCTCTTAACCGCAGCTGTCACCTTTCCCATTGCCCCACGCCCAGAAAACCTGCTATTCGGCTGCACCAGAATTGTTAAGCTGTCACACTCCCATCTCCATCAGGACATGCCAAGGCCCACTCAGCACCTTGGGCCCCATGACACATGGTACACACACTCCTCCACCCTGGCTCTCATGACCTGGAGCCCCTGGCCTTGCAAGCCTCAGAGATCACCCCCGTCTGTCAGCACTCCCTCTCCAGCTTCTGCTCCAAGGATAGCTCTGCTCAAGGAAGACATGGAACCAGAGCAAACTCATCCATCACAAATCTACAGATTAATGCCAAGCAACCACAACAGGCCCTGGAGCTACCACAACACCCTGTTGTTAATGATGCACGTCGGACCTTTACAAGAAACCCTACAGAGGTAGACCTGTGGCACCTCTCCCCTCCATTCCTCTATCTCTCCCATACTCTAGGGTCCCTCCAACAGGGTTGCTCACTTCTGATTCTTCTTAGAAGATTGCAGGGCTCTGGGAAGAAATGGTCCCATTTGTCTTGGCTTTTCCTCCAATCTCAGACTCTTCCCTCCTGTCTATGGCTAGCGTTTCCTCTCTTCAGAAGCTTCATTTCTTGTACCTTAAAGACCTCACCCTACACTTTCCTCTTCCTTCAAAACACTGTTATATGACAAATGTCTACAAGTACCCTACTGTCCATTATGTCACTGCCTAAACTCTCCTGCATTTTTCTGTTAAAAAAAAAAGCCCCCAAAGATGGCTTTTTCACATTGCCACCTCTCGTCTACCCTTTCTCTCTTAAAGTATGCATAGCTTCCAAGTTTCTGCAGAATGATGAGATTCAGGGAAATGCCAGGAGGTACCAGGTGACTCAAATCCTCAGATCCCACCAAGCCATGCTGTATACCAACCAGAAAGGTCTCAACAGCTCTGGGGTCAATGGATATTTTTCCCGAGGTGCTCCTCCCTAGCAGCCTCCCATTCTTGACTAGGGATGAAATAACAAGCCCACACTGTTCCCTGCAACTCCTCAGCCAGCCACATCATGTCTGAGAAAGGTATGTGCCAAGTGCACGGAGTGCAAGGTGTGTTGGTTCAACTTCAGGCTCTGGCCACCATTCCTGACTGAATTGCTCTTCCAGTGCCTATCCTGAGGGGCTTTCAGCACCAAGCAAGCTGCTGAAAGTCCAAGTTTCACTGCACCTCTACCCTGCTCCCAGTTCAAATCTCATCACCCAGGTCCACCGCCTCTAGCATTCAACAATGGAAATCTGTTTGGTGGAAAAGGGTGAAGAAGCTGAGTCGTTCAGTGAACCAGAAATCAAGGCACCATCTGACAGGTGCTCATGTTTTTAGGGGAAACAAACAGGAACACTTGAAATCAGTCCTCTCATGGAAAATTTTGGACTTGTGACATTGTAAAGATGCAGTGGAAAATTAAAGATCTGGTTCTAGAAATAAAAACTTAGGATGAATATTAAAAATAAATATGACCATGTGACGTTGTCTATACCAGCAATGTGAGAGCACACTTAAATAACATACTGATGGAATTATAACTCCTTATGAAAGACTATACTATTGTAACAATATAGGAAAAATCAGTCAAGGGGTGGGAATTTGGAGGGGTATCCAAGACTTCATGTAATTGTACCATAAAATTTATATTCAAAATAAAAATTTTAAAAAAAGAAAAAATATGGCCAAGAAACAGAGCACCAGAAGATATATCAAATACTTATGTTATCAGGTAAGGATTTTAAAATTGACTATGATGAGCAATTTTTTTAGCCAGCCATGCTCTCCTCAGGAGCCTCTTTTGTAAGGTAAAGCTGAGCTGAATCAGTTCTGAGAAAGTGCAGAGTTGACTCCTTTCCACTCAGCTCCTAACTCACCTGGTACCTGGCTGGTTCCCTCTCCTGCAGCAGCTCAAGACAGGAGGGGCTGGGAAGGCCTGAGACAGGACCCTCTGTCCTCCCTCGGCTTCTCTGTACACAGAAGGACTGAGAGGCTGGGACAGGGTGGTGGCAGGGAGGACACAACCCAGAAAGAGAAAGCCCAAGAGAGGAACCAACCTACACCTTGCCAAAAACATCAACAATATTTTGGAGGGTAGAAAACAGACGAACCAGAAAAAAAGATTAATCTATCTAGATAAAACCTATCTAGATAAAACCTGAGCATACAGAGGGGACAGTTGAAGCCAGAAGCCAACAGATTCTCACTGCAGAAAGTTTAAAACAGCTTGTGTGTTAGCAAGCCCAGGAATGCCAAAGGCACAAATGAGGCATAGTTCCAATTAGGGTGGTTGATGGGAGAGTTGTATAAGGAACCAATTGGATCTCTCCCAGCTCCTTCCTTCTCACTACATTCCAACTTGGGAAATGCTTGCACAGTCCCAAGATCTATCATTAGCAGAACTGACTGGGAGAAAGTGTGGCCGATGCTGACCTACCAGACCCAATGGAGAGTGGAAAGAAGGCCCAGCACTGAAACCAGCTACGTTCAGTAAAAGTTTACAAATTGCATGTGAGTCTCTAGTTCCCTCCTCCTGCTTGGTCTGGGAATGCTGGCCTCTAAACTCATCTTCTCCTGGGGTAGACAGAAAGATGACTCTCTGAAGGCCTGCACACCTTAATCCTGGGCCCTGTAGACATGTTGCTTTACATGGCCAAAGGGACTCTGCACACAAGAAACCTAAAGTGGGAAGATTATCCTGGATGATCCAGGTGCACGAATGTGATCACAAGCTCTTTGTAAGAAGTGTGCGTTTGGCTTGCACACTGGGTTATACAGTTAGTGTTAATGGAGATTAGAAATTCTGATATTGTTTTATGTGCTTACTGGTTCTGAACAAATAAGGCAGTATATTGCGGATACTGAGCCAGGATTCTTTCCTGGAGTTTAAGAAGGAAGTTACAAGAAGGAAAAAAAAAACAAAGCAAAGTGAATCCGGACAGATTTTAATCACAAGAATATACATGTATCATGTATGATAGGCATAAAGTATATTAATAAATACATATAACTGTGTAACATATATGAGCACACATGCATAACAATATACACTCAAAAATGTGCACGTGGGTGTGTTAGTATAAATACATACATTCCATAGCTCTTTCTACCAAGTGACCCGTCTAATAACATTGAGAGGACAAAGAACTCAGATCTTGGGTCCTCAATGCCATTTTTCAAAACAAGGAGCCAACAACCCTTGGAAAACTAGTTCATTCCCAACGAGAGGTAGGGAAATTTCAAAATAAGCCTGGAATGTATTGCAGTTCCAGAAACTAAGTCAGTTCCATGAAATGACAGGAGCATGTTGAAAAGACACCTGGGGCCCGGCGCGGTGGCGCAAGTGGTTAAAAAGGTCCTCACCTTGCACGCCCGGGATCCCATATGGGCGCCGGTTCTAATCCCGGCAGCCCCGCTTCCCTTCCAGCTCCCTGCCCGTGGCCCGGGAAGGCAGTCGAGGACGGCCCAAAGCTTTGGGACCCTGCACCCGCGCGGGAGACCCGGAAGAGGCTCCTGGCTTCGGATCGGCATAGTATCGGCCCGTTGCGCTCACTTGGGGAGTGAATCATCGGACGGAAGATCTTCCTCTCTGTCTCTCCTCTCTGTATATCCGCCTTTCCAATGAAAAAATAATAAAAATAAATCTTTAAAAAAAAAAAAAAAAAAAAAAAAAAGAAAAGACACCTGGCACCTGCTCAAAGGCACTCCCATGGCCAAATATAGGAAGTTCTGAACACCAAAATCAACAGTAATGAATCATAACCCACAGAATACAAGAAATATCAGTGAGTCATAGTAATAAACAATTGAATAAACAAACAGGGAGAGCATAAAGGTCTTCCTTATTTTCAATTAAATATAGAAGGAATTACAGAAAATTTAAAAATTTACCATTTGGCAAACACTGCAGAAAAAATTTTTCCTAGACCAGAACCATTGCCAGATGCTGAAATTAGTTAATGAGGGAATGATGAAGCGTGAGAGTTGCATTAATTGCCAAAGAGAAGACATAGTGACCATACGCCTTACTCAGTGAACTCAACAAACAGGGTCAGCTACAGAATGTGTAGCCCCTGCAAGGACCCACTAGGAGCACATCACCCCTGTGCTGTCCTTACCAAAAGCCTCTCATATTATCATAAAATCAGACAAATCCAAATGGAGACACCTGCTGCAAATGAACAGGCCAGTGTTTTTAAAAGCATTCGTTCAGGTTGTGAACAGCAAAGTTAGGAATTAACCGTGAATGGAAGAGATCAAGATTAATGTGGGAGCCTGGATGGGCTCCTCGACCAGAAAAGTGACATTTTTGAAGACAACTGATAAAATTCTAGGAAGACTGATACTCTACTCGATAGTACATACTAGACCGTGTTTAATTTCCCGGTTTGGGCTGTTACTATATGAATGCTATAAAGAGATTCAGCATACTATATTTGTAACTTAAAAATTATTTCCAAAGGGCCTGGCGGCTAAAGTCCTCGCCTTGAACGCGCAGGGATCTCATATGGGCGCAGGTTCGAATCCTGGCAGCTCCACTTCCCATCTAGCTCCCTGCCTGTGGCCTGGGAAAGCAGTCAAGGACGGTCCAAAGCTTTGGGACCCTGCACCCGTGTGGGAGACCTGGAAGAAGTTCCTGGTTCCTGGCTTCAGATCGGCACAGTACCAGCCATTGCACTCACTTGAGGAGTGAATCATCGGACGGAAGATCTTCCTCTCTGTCTCTCCTCTTCCTCTCTGTATATCTGACTTTGTAATAAAAAATAAATAAATCTTTTTAAAAAATTATTTCCAAAAACTTAAATAGTAAGTAATGATCTTCTGGGTTTTTTTTTAACTAATCAAATGCATGATTGTTAGAAGCTGTACATGACTGTCAGAGCATCAACAGTCAAAATTTTACTAGTTTGCCTTGCCATATTGACTTGATTGTAAAGCCAGTCCCAATATAACAAAATTTGTTTAATCCATGTTGCCTTCTTAGAACAGGTGTTTTTTGTTCAAATATTTAAAAGAGCCACAGATCTCATTTCCATTTTTTAGGACATTTAGGAGCATAAGATTCTAATATTTGTAGATCACATAAATAGAGTTCAATATAACTTTGATAATTTGCTTCCTCTTTTGTCTTTTTAAGTTTAAATCACAGCTGGAAGAAGAAACGAATGAGCGTTATGAACAATTTGAAGCTGTGGAGTACAAAACTCAAGTAGTTGCTGGAACAAATTACTACATCAAGGTCAGACTTCCATATCCACTTTAAACTAAACGATACTGTGTCTATAATTCGATGTGAAGCTCCCTGTTTCCACTTCTCCATAATTTATTTCTTTTGAATGTCCTAAAACTAAGATGCCTACTGTGATAACTTACGATTGGTAAACTCCCAAGTTCACTAGATGATATGATATTAATATTGTCTTTTTCTTGTGAATTTAAGAAGCTTTCTTATATTGATTATTAATTCAATTAATGGGGATTAATAAAGAAAGATGTCCCATGTGGTTTGTGACTGTGGCTGCTTTGTATGTAAGATGGAAGGAAGTTTCACAACTTTGTAAAGGCGTGGGGATGCACCAGATGGCATCATGAGGCTTTTTCCACCTCAAGCTTTGTGAGTCTCAAGACTAACTGAATGCAAGTAATGACTTGATTTGCATTTGGGGAAAATAAAGTCTTGTTTTTACTTTATGTATTTGAAAGAGAAACAGAGAGGCAGATATAGTTAGACACAGAGAGAACTATCCACTGGGTCACAGAGGCAGGAATGGACCAGGCTGAAGCTGAGGACTCAGTGTTGTCTCCAACACGAGTGGCAGAGATCCCCAGTCCTTGAGGCATCCCCCTGCCGCCCAGTGTGCACATTAGCAGGAATCTGGAACTGGAAGCAGAACCCTGATACAGGATGCTGGCATCCCAAGCATCATCCTAGCGCTGCACCTAATGCTGACCTCTGGCTTTGTCCTTTATATCAACTTTAGAGTAATTCAACTAAACTACTTTTGCAACTCGAGTCAACTCAACTTTAGCAATAAAGTAGTGAAATATTTTAAATAAATATTAATTTATAGCTATTTAAAAATAAATCATGCACTGACATATCCTAATGGAAGACAATACTTTTGACATTTTAAAAGGGAAGACAATACTTTTGACATTAAAGGGAATCAATTCAACAAGTCTATCATAGGCCCTGGAGAGACTTTTTTTTAAGTATTAAAAAGATGATCACCCATATTTTTAAAAAAATATTATGTATTGAAGTGTATACACTTAATCCAGTGGATGATGGCATGGTTTATTTTACTTCTTTTAAATAATTAACTACAGGCACAGCACAGTAGCCTAGTGGCTTAAGTCCTTGCCTTGCATGCGCCAGGATCCCACATGGGTGCCAGTTCATATCCCGGCTGCTCTACTTTCCTTCCAGCTCCCTGCTTGTGGCCTGGGAAGGCAGTCAAGGATGGTGCAAAGCCTTGGGATCCAACACCCATGTGGGAAACCCAGAAGAAGCTCCCTGGCTCCAGCCTTCAGATCAGCTCAGCTCCAACTGTTTCAGTCACTTGGGGAATGAAGCAGTTCCTGGAAGAGCTTTCTCTGTATCTCCTCTCTGTAAATCTTCCTTTCCAATTTAAATAAATAGATAAATAAGTACTTAAGACAAAAAAAATTTTATGCGTGCTTTCAGCACAAAAACAAAATAAATGGGGGCAAGCTGGCTCGGCAGGTGGAAGTTCCAGCTCTGTGAATGGGCCAGCCCAGCCCTGCTCAGTTGGCTCTTCCTGTCCATGCCAAGCCCTGGGGAGACATATGTGACCCACCAGCTCTATCCTGAGAGACCAGTTGCGTTGTTTCCTCCTTTCTCAACTTGCTTTTCCACACAGCAAAATCATTTCCCAGGTAAAAGTGATTCTGTCCAAAGAAACAGCCCACCAAAACTGGGAGCAGTTTAGTCACGTTCCATTCTCTCTCCTTCCCTCCCACTCTGCCTCCTGTTCCCCTGCTTTCTAATTTCTCCCACTCATTTGCAGCCACTAGCCCCAGCTGCTCCCTCACTTCTGGCTGCCTGGGCCCTCATCTCTTTGCCCTGAGCCTCTCTGTAGATTTCAGGTCTTGCCAGTGATTTGAACTTCTCTATGGGTCTTGAGTAAATATCAGGAGGCAAGGTGGTAGGCTTTGGTGTTCCAACAGTCTGCTTTTGAGTTTCAGTCTTTGTCTGAATTTTTCTATTAGAACCTGTGTGATTGAATTTCCTGCTCTTCTCTGAGTCTCAATTCCCTCATCTGCACAATGGGTATAATAAGCGGTTTTACAGGGTGTGGCGAGGAATGCAAAAGAACTCACAATGTATCAGGCATTGTTCTAAAGGTCTGAGCTAGGCATGTACCAGCTCGTTTAAGCATCACAAATCATCTATAAGTGTCATCGCATAACTTATATTATTAAGAAGCAGCAGCCCAAAGGAAATGAAGTAACCAGCAAAGTCTACAAACGTGTAGGAGGGAGTTTCAAAATATATGGGAAACATGATTTAGGAAAAACCTGTGGATGGATTTCACAATTCTCTCATACTGAAATAAGCTTACCTTTTATTTCTAGTTTTCTACGAACCTTTCAAAGTTTGTGGCCAGAGCAGAACCAAGCTTTGGACCTAGGGAATCTGAGGCTTTTCCTACTGACTGTGCTACCTCTAGTCCAATTTGTAAAAATGATGCCCTGTTCAGGTGCAAAACAGGAGCTTTTAAACAGTTCCACTTGGTACCGAAAGTGTTCATCTTAGTGTATGGCTCATAGCAAATATTTCACAAAGGGAATTTGCTATACAACAACAAAGGATGATAGCTACTGTAAGACAAAAACTTTAATCTCCAACAAGAACCCAAACAGAAATTCTTACCATAAATATTCCAAGCCCTGGATAAGGGACAGTGATGCCCTTCCACCTTCCCCGCCCAGGACTTCCCAACCAAAACCAAAGGTGGCCTTCCACCTCCTACAGCAAGACTTGGTGAAGTAGGTTCTGATACAGCTCGGATTTCCTAAGGCAATTCTGATTCTCCTCTCTTGTTAGCAAACCATGTGGCAAAGAGTGTTCCAGTTGAGGAGTCAGAAAACCGACTCCCCAAAAACATAGGCTGACACAAGTTGTTTTCTTGCTCTGCACATCTTTGAAAAACAGAACATTTGGGCTACCCTTTGTGCTAGATTATAATAATGATTATAATAATAATTATTACTACATACACACAAAAATGAACCTGGGACCTGGTGCTTCTTGCTGTGCCATATGCCTGCCATTTAGTTCATGAATTAAGGCAGTGGGTTTTGGAAAGCGGAGCCTAAGTACGCAGCCCAGGGGCTAGAAATGTTGTTCTGGTGAAATCTTCATAAGCCTGCAGACCACTGCTTTGTTACAGAACCATATGAATAAATCTCCTTTTTATTTTTTTATGCCTTTCAGGTAAGAGTAGGTGAAGATCGTTATATTCACATGAAAATTTTCAAAAGCCTTCCTGGACGAAATCAGGATTTGGTGCTTTCTGCATACCAGACAGACAAAAGCAAGAATGACGAGCTGATTGGCTTTCAGTAGCATGTTCCCAAAGTGGTTTGATTCCTTCCGCTGGCTACTGATGAAAGATCCTTGAGAATATATATATGTAATCATCAATAAAGAAGTATTCCGCTTCAAAAATATTATTTTGTCCATTATTATTAATTTATTATCATAGATAGAGATTACCTTCTCTTTTTTTGAAACTGCTGTTCTTTGTGTCAACGGGAAATCTTAGAAAAGTCAAACCATATGCAAGGGGCTGAACGACAGTACTCACAGCACCCCCACCAATGGCAGGTTGCAACTCGCTGCAGTTCCTAAGAACACAATCAATCCATCTCTCCCCTCACATTCCAAATGAAAAAAGGTATTTAAGCAAATACACTTTCATTCTGAATGTTAAAACAAAAACCAGGAACAGCTAAATTTAACAAATTTGACTTGAGCAAGAAAAAGCTCAGAAGCACCAGGCAACATTCCAGCGTAGAGAAGATTTCCACCTGCCACACACAAGGGTTACATTTATTGCCAGAGAAGAGTAACTGACACACAGAAACAACCTGCCTGTAGCCCGCAATTGCCTTATAAGGACATGGTATGATCAGCTGGCAATCTATGATTGACTGCTTTGGCTAAGACTCAGTACTTGGTTACAAAGGAATATGCTTAAATTAGATTATAGCACCTTTATACAAGTTTGGTTGCAGCTCACTATGTAGGGAGGATGCTTTGGGTCAATTTATTGGTCAAGTAGGGAGGGCATTTTAAGCCATGTTTAACTTTAGTTCAACAAAAAATTATTTTAAACTTACGAGACAACTGTCAAAAGGAAAAAAAAAAAAACACTTCTTCATAAACACTTGTAAGTTAGTGCCGTAATGCCTATCAATAACAAATACTTGAACAAACACCATTGTGCATTTTCTACATAAAAAGAAATTTTCCTGCATAATTGATATAAAACATCAAAATCAGGAAATAACATTGACACAGATAGTCTCTAGTCCTCAGACGCCATTCTCACCCCCCAGTTGTCCCAGAATAGATCCAATTATTCTAAAACCATGTGTCTACTTAATTGCTAGTTTCGCCCAAATTTTTATTCATTCAGTTGTTTACTTGAAAGACAAAGCGAGAATTCCCAACTACTGATATATTTCCCAAATTCCTGCAATGGTCCAGGTACTGACACTCAGAGCTGAACTGAATCACTCAGAGCTGAACGTGTATAAGGAATGCAACTACTTGAGTTGTCAAGCCACCTCCCAGGGTCACCATCATCAGAAAGCTAAAATCAGGATGTAGAGTAAATTAAACTCAGGTACTCAGAAGAGTGATGGGGCATCCTAACCAGGGACTTAACCACCAGGCCAATTACCTACATTCATTCATTTGACAGATAAAGACGGAGGGAGCATCAGTGCACCGGATCCCTCCCCAAATGGCCACCATGGCCAAAGCTATGGCAGGCTGAAACCAAGAGCTTGGACCTCCATTCGGGTCTCCACATGGATGGCAAAAGCTCAAACACTTGCATCATCTTCCATCACTTTCCCAGGCCCATTAACAGGGACTTGGATGAGAAGTGGAGCAGCCTGAACTTAAAACAGGTGTTCTGAAATGGGATGCCAGGCACCACAACACCAGCCCCTTAACAAATCTTAACCACTGCACCAACTGACCACCCCTTGTCTTTTTTAACATCTTTGCTGAGATCATTTCTATTCCATTCAATTCATCTATCTAAAGGATGTGGTTCACTGGTTTCCCAGTATTTCACAAATGTATAGAATCATCCCCCATGTTAACATTTGCCTCAACTCAAAAAGAAATCCTATACCCCTCATTAGACAACAGCAAAACTACAAAGGCATATGGGGGGAATCAAGAGCAATCCTAACAACCTCTTAACAGGAGGTCATATGCACAGAGCAGAGGGGGACCCCAGCGTGGAGCAGGCAGACAGGAGGAGGCTTGTATCCCAACTCTGAAGACTCCCAGATCCTCACCAAGGACTATCAGTATGAGCTCCGAGGACTACATCTCAACCACCAAGGAGACCACGGGGAATTGGAGTGCCTTCGGAGGCCGAGAACTCTGAGGTCACCCACCTCCATTTGGAACTACCACATGGGATGGAAGAAGCCCAAATCCTGCCTTACAAGATCCAAAGTCATTGGAACGACAACCAGGAGCACTGAGCAGTCCGCAAACACAGAACAGTAAACTTCCTTCAGGACTAGGGAGAGGAGTTTTCTCTGATCCTTGCCTGGTTCCGAATTTGGGTCCCAACGCTCTCTCGTAATGACCATCAGAATCGCTCCAGAAACCCCTCAAAACTAACAAATAAAAAAATTAGAATAGATAGACAGAGAACAGCAAGGAGAGCTTAGAAACAGACAGGAAATGGTCAGTGGGGATGCACTTATAACTCACTGGGTGGGACACAAAGATTAGTTACTCCTCAATAGGGTATTGAAGATTTCTCTGCACACCCCTCAGAAAACTGTTCACCTAAACTGTTGACATATGTCTTGTTAGAGTTAGAGTTAGACTACCCGAAAAACAGCCAGGTTCTGCAAAATCATGCTTCAACGCTATAAACTGCTAAACACTAAAATTAAAATAGACACGAGACAGCTGAATAGTAATCTATAGCCATTTTAAGGTGTATAGAACCCAGTTGTATATAAACTAATAATTGTAATGTCAATGTAGAAGTCATAGGATGTGGTTCAGAACTTGCATTCTTTTTTTTTTTTTAGCATGTTGGTTACTCAATACCATGTCAACTGATTCCATAACATTGTGAATTGTTACTGATGTAATGTCAGGGCTTTTAATTGATTGGGATGATACTCTGTCAGCTCTGCCTTCGGACAGGAGATGGTCTCCCCAAAAAACTGTTGGACTTGTCTGGACAATAAGATACTGGACTTTATGCTTGGTATATGCTTGCAATGAAAGAATCTCAACTGAATTTGAAGTGTGGTAATGTAACAAGGTAGAGAAATCCACCATGGGGGTGCAGGGTTGGGGAGGAGAGGGGGAAATCCCAGTGCCTAAAAAACTGTGTCACATAATGCAATGTAATCAATTAAAAAAAAAAACTTAAAAAATAAAAAAAAAGACGGGGCCCGGCGCGGTGGCGCAAGTGGTTAAGTCCTCACCTTGCACGCCCGGGATCCCATATGGGCGCCGGTTCTAATCCCGGCAGCCCCGCTTCCCTTCCAGCTCCCTGCCTGTGGCCTGGGAAAGCAGTTGAGGACGGCCCAAAGCTTTGGGACCCTGCACCCGCGTGGGAGACCCGGAAGAGGCTCCTGGCTTCGGATCGGCATAGTATCGGCCCGTTGCGGCTCACTTGGGGAGTGAATCATCGGATGGAAGATCTTCCTCTCTGTCTCTCCTCTCTGTATATCCGCCTTTCCAATAAAAAATAATAAAAATAAAATCTTAAAAAAAAAAAATAAAAAAAAAGAAATCCCATACCCCTTAGCTATTATGTGTACATCCTCCTCCACCTCCTCTGTCCCAATCAACCTCTAATTTACTATCTGCCTAGACCTGTCTACTCCAGACCTTTCATACTTGTGGAGGAATATAAAGTGTGATCTTTTGTAACTGGCACTCCTGTAACAGGGAGAGGACTCAGCCTCGGTGAATTTGTGGGCCTCCTGGTGTATGAAGTTTTCAAGGTTCATCTAAGTTGCAGTTTGTATCAGCAATAGATTTCTTTTTGGAATATTTGATAGAATAGTCTTCATGATATTCTGTAAACATTAGTAGTTACTATGTTTCCACAATGTCTCTTTAATTATATGCTAATAATTTACAGCTGTTTAAGCATATATTTGTAGGCTATTATGTGATGTCATGATTCTGTAAAATTTTTTATTTATTTATGAAAGAGACAGACAGACAAAACTAATATCTTCTGGTTCTGTTTCAAATGCCCACACTAGCCAGGGCTGGATCAGGCTGAAGCCAGGAACCAGGAAGCCAGTCCAGGCCTCCCAGGGCACGACAGGAATCTAACTACTTGAGCCAATGCTTGCTCACTGTGCTCTAAGTCCAGCATGACCAGGAAGCTGGAATCAGGAACAGAGCTGGGATTCCAACCAAGGCATCCTGATGTGACATATGGCGAGTCCTAAGCATTTCCCACACCATTTTGCCAACCTGCCAGCCCAACATTATGATTTTTATGCAAAATGAGATGATTAACTCAAACATAATAACCCACCACTACCTCAAACATCTGACTTTTTCTGATGAAAACATTTGAGATTTACCTACTTAGCAATATTGACATGTATTCTACTCAATCAGTAGTTATATTTTCAACACTGTGTAACATCTTTTTTTTTTAAGTCACCAAAAATCAAATTTATTCCTTCCATCTAAGGTTTGGTATTTTGATTATCATCTTCTCATTCTCCCTTTCCTCAACCCTACCCTCAAGTAACCCCAATTCTACTCTCTGCTTCTAGGAATTCAAATGTTTTTAATTTCCCAGGAGCAATAGAGCAGGGGGCTGGATGGGAGGTGGAGTAGCCAGGACCAGAACCAGAACCCATATGAGATGTCAGTGTCACAATCACAATGTCCATCTGTATTTGTCTAATTTTGCTTTTGAGGTCAAATCTTCAAAATCTTCAGCAATGTTACGTTGTTTTCCCCACGACCCTCTGCCCACCATTTTTCTTCTAGTGGTTATACAGCTTCACGTTTCAAGCGTTAAATTCATTTTGAGTTGCTACTTCCATGTGCTGTGAAATAAAGTCCAATCTTACAGAGGAAGTCCTCAGAGACTGGGGGAGGATGGACACACCAGGAGGATGGCTGAAGTACTGGAGTGTCTGCCATCCATGTGCAGACCTGGACCGTTGGGATTCCCAGCGTCCGGCTCCAGCCCTATAGGTCTGGCTGGTCTGGGCACTGAGGGATTGACAAAGGATAGTACTGCACACTCCTCCCTGTGCTTCTCAAATAAATCAGCTACATTAAAAACAAAAACAAACAAAAAGGTGAAAAGATAAGTCAACAACTGGGCCTGGTGAGGTAG